TTTTCCTCTGCTGTCAACAGACTGTTTCACACTTCTTGGCATTATTGACTTATTTTTCTCCTGTTGACCAAGCTGGAGGCCGAGTTATGTGCTCACTCTGAAAATGCTCCTTCAGAATCATGCCTCTGAGCTTTCTGACCAAGGCAGAGAGTAAGTAGGTACTGTGCTGTATGCAAATACACACATATTTCTCCGTGTAGGCCAAAAGGAGGGAGGCACATTGCAAATGCCTTTACAACAAGAACTTTTGAGATGGGTTATTTCATAGCGTCATTGAAAATAAGCTTTTAGAAAACAAAAAAGTACAGAAGAATAATTATCTATAAAGTAAGTTGCGGGAAAAAAAATCACACACAAAACAAAACATGACTAATACTTCAATAGTGAGTTCACCTCAAGCATTTCATGAATTTCACATGACCCACCCACTTTTTCTCTGTACCTCTGAAGACTACCATATCAGCAGCAATAATACTCTGTTGTTCAAGTGCCAGATTTACATCTCAACATAGCCCTGGCATTCCTGAATGTAGAATACTGTACTGTTTGCTGCCTCCTTTCTGATTTCTATTATAAGGTTAATTAATGTTCCTTGCCCCTCCTCTCTTAATCTCATGCCACCTCTTACCTCTCAGCAGCCAGGGATTTTTTTTTCCCTCTGTAGTTCTTTTCCTTTCCTTTCTCTTCTTTGTCATGAGGTGAACTACCTGCAAATTCATTCTTCAATCAATTTAATGTCATTACAATTCAATGTCTTTATCTTTCAGCACAGATGATTTTTGAGATGACAAGCCAGGGACAAAGACCTGATGAAAGCACCTTTTCTGGCCCTATTCTCACTTTCTTCCCCAGATTTATGTTGTATGGAAAATGGTCAGAAGTTCAGGGTTTCATGGCTACTAGAGTCTCTTTCTTGGTAGGCCTTTAAATAAAAAAGAGGACTTGCTGTTTTGAGATTGTATTGGGGATGAGTTAAGCAAAAATTTCCACGCCAGAATTACATCAGAAAATTTTCATTTCCAATGGAAGTGTGGAAAAGGGTGGGGTGATTTTAAAATATTTGTACTCATATGTGTCAAATTTAATGGAAAATCAGCCAGAGCCAAACAAGCTATTTAAAGGAGCTTTCTTTCTTTCCCATAATTCCTCTGGGGTTATGAGCCCCAATAGACTCATAAGGCTCAAGGAGTAACTTGATCATTTTGGTTCTGTTTATATACCTGTGCTTCCCTCTCTCTTTCCCTCCCTCTCCTTGTCTCCCTCTCTCCCCCATCTTTGTAGTATGGGGGGTTGAGCCCAAGGCCTTCTCATACATACAGGCAAGACCTATAAAAAAAAAAAAATCAGGGGCTGGGAAGGTAGCTCAGTAGAATAAGCACTTGCTTGGCAAGCACAAGGGCCTGAGTTCAATCACTGGTTCCACACACACACAAAAATAATAATAATAATAATAAATAATAATAAAAATAAAATTCAGGCAGGGTCTTGATAAATTGTTCAGTTGCCCAGGCTGGGCTCAAATTTGCAATCTCCTTTCCGTGCCTCCCACATCGCTGGGATTTCAGACTTGTGCTACCGAGACCAGCTGACACCTGCACTATTAGCCTGCAGGTAAATGGGACTGGAGATGAATATGTAGAGATGAAGGCATGGAAGGTATGCAGAGAAGGAGCACGTGCGTGCATGCGTGCGTGCATGTGTGCACACCATGTTGCTTGAGATGTTACTACAGAAAGTGCAGCAGCGGAAGGAAGCACAGCACACTGCGGGCCAACAGTGCCTCTGTGTGGGTGTCTGGGAGTACATGAGATGTATCTGTGCTGAGAGGGAGTGAAGGAAGGAGAAATGTATGCATTCTTCAAAAGGAATTGCACGCGTTGGAGGTTGCTTTTGAGAGTATAGAAAGGAAGGATTGAGAACCACAGATAAAGTATGCCCAGGATCCTGACCGCACATTCTTCTAAATTTCCCCCAACCCGCTAAAACAAATGTTTGCTGTGTTCATTTTTCCTTGGCCCCGAGTCTGCCTGACACATGGTCCTCCCTACCCACTGGCAATGCCCCTCTGACTTCATCAGCACATGGATGTCATATTTGATCTGTATTATTTTTCATCAGTACCCTGTTCAGAGAGTGATCTTAGTCTTGAGTGCGTATTTCCCTCACATGAATTACAGTTTCTGAGGATTCAATTTTTATCTTTTATTTTTTATTAATTTTATTGACAAGGATTCAATTTTTAAAACTAAAGTTTGTTCTTCTTTCCTGTTCTCTCGTCACTTGTTATCAATTCTGAGCACTTCTCAGCAAATGTTTAACATATTATTGTACAATACCTCTTCATACAATTTTCTTCCCTTTACAAAGCCTCTTATGACATGAGTAGGATTTTTTTTTTTTAAACTGCAATGTTGGGGATAGAATCTAGGCCTAGGCAAGTGCTAGGTTGGTGCTGTTATCACCGAGCCTCATCCCCAGAACAGAATTTATTTTTTAAATTAAAATGTGTCTCTTAAATTTTTTTTCTCTCACTCTCTGATACCTGAGATCAAATCACTGAGCTTCAGCATACCTGTCACACTGCCTACATCCCAGCCCTTTTAAGTTTTTTTTTAAATTTTGAGGCAAGCTCTCAGTAAGTTGTCCAAGCTGAGTTCACATTTGTCATCTTCATGCCTCAGCCTCCTAGCGTGCTGGGATTACAGATGTGTGCCACCATACCTGTTCCTTGGCTCTGGGAATTGAAGGCAGGGTGGTTCTGTCATTGAGCAAGACCCCAGTATGCTTTTTACATTGGGCAGATTTACAAAATTTTTTAAATTCTAGGGCTAGGGATGTAGCTCAGTGTTACAGTGCTTGCGTTGCTTGCATAAGGCCCTGAATTCAATCCATAGTACCACAAAAACAAAAAATGATAAAATTCTGTGTAAAATTCCAAATCTGCAGAAATAATACAATGTTCAGCCCATATCGACCATCACCAGATTTAATACATTGGCTTCACATCTGTACAAGCTAAGTGTACAGCTAACTGCCCATGGCCCTCCTCATCCCATTCCTCTCCCTCCCTCTTTCACACTCCCAAAGCAAGGATGGGAAAGTGTAGGGTGTGTCTGTGTGTGTGTGTCTGTGTGTGTGTGTGTGTGTACAATGCCCCTCCTGCATGGTCAGAGTCTACTGCATTGCCCAAAGGACTTTGTTCTCCCTCCCAGTGGGGGTAGGGGCTGGTGATTGAGCCCCAGAATTGCTCAAACACAACATAAGCAAGGTCTGTTGGGCTGGGGAGATAGCTGAGTGGCGTAAGTGCCTGCGTGGCAAGTGCAAGGTCCTGAGTTTGATCCCTGGTACACACACACACACACACACACACACACACACACAAAGAAAAAAGAAAAAAAAGAAAAGAAAAAAGAAACAGCAAGGTCTATGGGCCTCCTGAAGGCCAAAGGATGGGATGGATGAGCACTTTTTCAAGTCTTTGCAAAGGTGTGAGCCCAAGGCTTGCAGGAGGCTGAATCCCTGTCAGCTGAGACCCTTCCTACAAGGCAGGTGGGATGCAGGAAGAGAGAGCAGCACAGCAACCTTCAGCTGACCTGGGAAAAGGAAGAAACACATTCCGAGGAAGTGGGATTAGTATAGTGGCGAGGGGGTGCGAATTGAAGACCCATTGCACCCCGAGAAGGAGGCACCCTCAGGTGGAGAGTAGCTTTACACAGCTGCTGTTTCCCTGAGCTTCAGAAAGGACAGGGCTGAGGGTGCCGTCATGAATGTAGCCTGGGGGTGGGCGGTGTGCCCTGGCTGGGCCAGAAAACCATTCCCAGTCTGCCAGACATACTGCCAACCGCATGACCTGCCTGGGTGGCATTCACATGAAACACCGAGCTGCTTTAGTTCCTGGAAGCACTGTGGGTCCAACAGAGACCATTCAACACTATTTACGGGCCTACTTTGAACATTTCTTTATAAACTGAATCATACAGTATGTGGTCTTTTGTGTTTGGCTTCCATAACACACTGTTTTCAAGGTTTAAACACATGGTTGTGTGTATCTGTACTTTGTATTTTTTGAAATCTGGCCTTTCTGTGCCACCCAGACTGGTCTTTAACTCCTAGACCCAAGGGGTCCTCCCACCTCAGCCTCTTGACTGTACTTCGTTCTTTCAAATGCTCATATATTCCTTTACGCTATGAGTGTAAGTCCATAATTGGCTCCATTCGCCCACTGATGGACATTTGGGCTGTTTCCACTTTCTGTCCATTATGAATCATACTACTAGCAGAGAATATTTGTATACAAGTTTGTGCATAATTATATTTTCATTTCTCTTGGATATATACCTGGAATGGTCATATGGCAACCCTGTAATATTCTGAGGAATTGCAAAATGCACTTCCCTCAACATCTTATTTAAAAAAAAAAAAAAATACGCATTTTGTACAGGGTTTCACTACGCAGCTCCGATTTGCAATGCCCCTCCTGTTTTCAGCGCTGGGATTACAGTCGTGCGCCACCACACCCGGACACGTGCGGGGGTAAAAGGGGGGCGGCTTGCGACACCGGGGATCCAACCCAGGCCCTGCTCTTGCCCAAGCGGCCGCTTAGTCCGCTGAGCTATCTTACCGGACCAACACGTTAATATTCTTATTATAAAAACCCTGGATTTAGTGCGCGTTTCTGCAGTGTCCCAGGGGAGGGCCGCTGTCAAGGAAAAGGATCGCTTTTCCGAGGCCCATGTTTTTCTCTGAGCCAAAACATCTGACCGGGTGCGCTCGACTGAAAGCGCACTTTCTGCCTCCAGCCCGGCCCCGCCTCCCAGCGCTTGCTGACCACAAGATAACCGACGCCTCCAGCAGAGGCCATATGGACCTTGTAGTTTTCTTTCCGCACACCTGCGCAGAAACTGCGGAAGCAAAACTACAATCCCCAGAATGCTCCTGTTATACGGGGGCCGGCTGGACCATTCCGCGTAGGGTACTCCCGCCCTCTTCGGTCTCGGCAGTTCTCCAGGGCGTCTGTAAACACCCCAGAGACTGTCATGGAGAGGGAGGCGGCGGCAGCGGCGGCGCAGGGAGGCGTTTGGGGCCACTTCCAGGGCCCGCGCTGCCATTCCTGAACCGGTCCCCGGACCCCGTGACTGTGGCATCAGAAAGCTAACTGTTAGACAAGAGGAGGCAGCAGTCAGAACCCCATCCCCTTCCTCCCGGGGCGGGGGCCGGGCCGGGCCGGCCTGTCCGCCGAGATGGATGACAGTAAGGTAAGTCTGGAGGTTTGCACGCGCAGCTGCCGCCGCCGCCGCCGCCGCCGCCGCCTGCTTGTCGCTAAGTGCTAGTCCCACCGCCGAGCCTCTGCGTGAAGTCCGTGCCAACACCCAAGAAACACCTGCCTTAGACGTCCCCGCGCCTACCTGTGATGGCCCGATGGTACCCAACCCGAACTCGGGCTACACCCGGGCTGTGTGTCTCCTGGAAGGGGCCTCTTCTGGAAAATTTCACTCCCAGGGCAACCCTGTTTGCCAGCTCTCCCAGGGAGTACAAACCCTCGTCCCTAACCTGCCTATCCAGATAAGAAACTACAGTTTTAGCCTTTTCTTTGTGCCTTCTCTTCTTCCTTCCCAGGCCATCTCAGTTTTACAGACTTGAATCAGTGCACCTTTGAACCAGCCCCAGCTCCCCTTGACGATTTCCCTTTCTCGCAGGATTCTTCACTCAATGCCCCATTCATATACGCTGTTCACTCCCCTTCGGAGTTATTTTCCTGTGGTTGGTTGGAACGTTGCTAAGCTCCTGTTGCTATTTGTCCAGAGGCTAAATCTAAACCTCCTCTAGAAAGCCTTCTCTAAGGAAAATGGTCAATTTCTTCTTGTCATCTCTATTCCACTTTTCCTGCTCAGTGCATCTAGGTACATAGTGTGCATTATTGGCTCATTCATATAGTTGATCTATGAATGGCCTGTTGTTTCTGTATTTAGATCTAGATTTAGATTAGTGTTTAGTTTTATCCCATGAAGATAAAAATAGTCAGAGACTTGCTTGTTGATGTTGAAGAGTTGGGCAGGAATCAAACTTTAAAAATTTGCCAATTTTTTAAAGTAGAAATCATACTCTCTTTTTTTCTTTTTTTGTATTTTAGGGAAGGGTCTACAGGGTGTTCAGGGTCTCACCACTACATTGGACTCATAGTGATTCTCCTGTTTACAGCCTCCCAAGAGCTGGGATTACAGTCTCAATTGCCATTTCAGCGTGTCCCAGTGGTGGGACTGGCAGGGCAGGCCCAGGAATCGAACCCCCAGCCCCTGCACCTGCTTGCAGACACTTTAATCCACTGAGCTATTTGGCTAGCCCTTATCAGCTTTTCAAAATCCGCTTTTCCATAGTTTCTGGCATACTCTTTGGGAGAAGTTTTCCCTTTGTTTAGATGTCCTTTTTGTCTTCCACCTAACCAGTAAAATTTTGCAGCTGCCAAATTTTTGATTCACACATCCTCAGAACAGAAAAATTTCCAGATTCTCTGTGCTGCTTGTTTTAGTGCACATTATTTCCTCTTCTTTTGAGAAGAGTAATAGAATGGAAAGCCCAGTCAGGATTCTAGAACTGAGCACTGATTACTTGTAAAGTAGCAAACCCCTTCATATTTCTAAAATAGAAAGGGGAATTCTGAAAGTTTCCCAGAAAATAATTGTTCATAAAATATTTGGTACCAGATCTGTGTTAATTTTGAAATTAAGCTTAAATATAAAGCCCACTGTCTTTCCCAGAAAATAGTAATTTGTAGATGTTTGAGGATGCTGAAAGAATATATCGTTCCTTGATTTTCTCACCTTGAGACTCCCTACTAATTTCAGTTGTATCCTTTTTAGAACTTTGAAAGTTTCTTTTTTACTTTTTTCTTTTCTTTTTTCTTTTTTTTTTCCCGGAACTGGGGATTGAACTCAGGCCCTTGTGCTTGCCAGGCAAGCATTTATTCTACTGAGCTATCTCCCCAGCACAAAAGTTTCTTAAAGTCTTCAATAATCTCAAATTCAGTCCAAGAAAAGCACGTAAGATTTTAAAATATTTACTTACCTCTAAGATCACATTAGGGGTTTTCTAAAATTAGCAAATGGCATTGAGAGAGATAGAAAATTTCATCTAGCATTATACCTCGTAGAGGATCAAGTACTACTAGTTAATAGTGATTGGAAGAGTGGTGACATGAAAGAGGTTGCCCCATCCGGCGAGAAGCTCAGCGGACTAAGTGCCTGCTTTGGCAAGCCCAGGTACCAAAGTTTGATCTTGGGACCCGTATGCCACACTGGCCCCACCCCCGGGAAAGCTGAGCAGGCCACCGTGTCCAGAAGTGGCGCATGCCTATAATCCCAGCGCTGTGGAGGCTGAAGATAGGAGAATCACTATGAGTCCAAGCTATGTAGTGAGACCCTGTACCAAATACATAAAATGAAGAAAAAAAAAAAGATTGCCCCAATGTATATGAGCTTTCTTAATCAATGTGCTCCAGTTGAACATACATGCTAGAGAAGATATAGCAAATGGGAACAACCAAGGGAAGGTAGATTGGGTCTCATAGAAGAAAGGCTTGGGAAAATACTATGTGTCAGAGCCAAATACTGATCTGCTAGAGTGGATGTCCTGTTAAACTAGTTGGGAAGAAAAATTCCAGACTATCCTTTCTCTCTCTGTCTCTCTCTTTCTCTCTGTCTCTATAGATAGACAGACAGATAGATAGATAGATAGATAGATCTCACTACATAGTTGAGGCTAGCCTTAAATTCCCTATATAGCCCAGGATGGCCTTAAACTTGCAGCACTCCTCCTGCCTCAGTCTCCCTAGAGCTGGGATTACAGGTTTATAATACCACACCAAGCCTCTATTCTCATATCTTTGACATGATGCTAGTATCTTCTTTGAACACTTTGGTGAGAATGAGAAATGAGCATATTTAAATATTTCTGTATAGCTAGAGCAAACTTTCTGTAGAAGTCCAGATAATAAATATTTGTGGGTCGCATGGTCGCTGTTGCAATTAATTATTCGGCTTCCATTATTCCCATTGTATCATGAGATCAACCACAATGAATGGACATGGCTGTGTGCTAATACCACTTTATTTATAAAAACAGAAAGCAGTTTATATTTGGATTTCCAGCGGGACAATCATTTGCTGACCTCTGAGCCTTGAGTACAAGTGTGGTCAGAGACAAGGATAGAAAGAGATAATCAGGAGCCAGGTTAGGATATGCTTGGTGAGGTAGGTTACAAATTTGGGGTGAGTCTCTGTCAAGGTATAGAAGACACCTGCTGAATCAGAGTATGTGGGGAGGTGGCCCAGGAATTTGAGTTTAACAGCTCTCCAGTGAATGGCTCATGCTCTTAATGAATTTGAAAACGAAGGGTATAGATGTTGGAGAGCCATTCAAAGATTTTTAAAGCAGATCCCCAGTGTGCCCATCCCCAGGGTGTGCTGAGACAGTGATAGAGACTGGGCATGGTGGCGCATGCCTGTATTCCCAGTGCTTGGGAGGCTGAAACCAGGAGGATCACCACGAGTCCGCTCTGTGTAGTGAGACCCTGTAGACCCTGTACTAAATACATTGGAAAAAAAATTTTAAACAGAGGCGACAAAACCAAATTTGTGTTTTTAAGACCATATTTGGGTGAACTGGGTCAAGACTATCAAGACTCAAGGCAGATAGTTTAGTTAGGAAAAACATGTTCATTTGGACATAGTCAGATCTCATTTCTACGCTTTCATTATGATTCTGGACAGATTATTTAATCTCGTCATAATTTCTCTTTACATGTAGGCTGAGGCACTTATTAAATTATTGTGATAAAAATATATATCTAAGAATTTGGTTACACAATGAATTTTCTTTCTTTCTTTCTTTTTTTTTTTTTTTTTTTTTTTTTTTTTTTTTTTTTTTTTTTTTTTTTTTTTTTTTTTTTTTTTGGCAGAACTGGGGATTGAACTCAGGCCCTTGTGCTTGCCAGGCAGGTGTTTATTCTACTGAGCCATCTTCCCAGCACAATGAATTTTCAATATGAGACTTTTCTGAATCCTTAACCACCTTGGTTAGATTGCTCAGAAAAAAGTCTGTACTTCAGAGCATGTTAGAGACCATTACAGTGTAGGTTACACTTGATACAATGAATAAAATCCCTCAAGAGCAAAGAATGTAGAGAAAAGAGAGTAAATGAGAAACCCCCCACCCCACCCAATCTAAAATGACCAAAGAAGGCTAAGGACTAGAATGTAGCAAAATAAACTGAAAAGGAAAGAAAAAAAGAGCTATTGTTACAGTATCTATCTAAGGGTAGAGAGATACAATGTGAGATGCTACAGAAATTTTCAGGTAAAATAAGTAGTGAAAACATCCACTGAATTTTGAAAAAAAAATTCTTTATAAATCAAGCAAGAATGACCCGTGCAGTGTTACAGTGCCAGATGCTTAGAAGCTCAGTTAGGAAGATCACCTGAGCACAGGAATTCAAGGCTAGCCTGACCAACATATTAAGACCCTTGTCAGATACCTACATAGCATATACTTGCCTATCTCCCTAGACAGCAGGGACAGTTTCAACAGAAATAGAGTAGGAGACAAAACGTATCAGTTGTGGAAGGCCTGGGTAAGAAGGCAGCAGACAAGATAGTCATCTCACTGAATTTGTACCAGCTCAGGCATTGCTGAAGTATATGTACTGTTATATTTAGGTGAAATTATACTTAGCTCCAGCCTCCAAAAAGAATAGCCACGGTGGGGGGGGGGTAGGGATAAAAGAGGAGCAGCATTAGTTAACTCAGTATAGAGATGAGTACTGGCAGTAAGGTTAGCACCAGGAAGAAGTGATTAGATACTTTCTGACGATCGGAGAAATAAGAGAAAGTGCCTCACCCGTAGCAGTGAAGGAAGTTATGGGAGTCATAACACCCAATAAAGATGCGTCTATTTGCTTCGCTTTTCCTTTAAAGTGGTAAACAGCAGTGGTGAGGTACGCTGCTGTGCTCTTTAATCAGTGGGTGATATCTTTTCACTTTGTGTTTTTAAGAGAAAGGTGAGACAAGCCCTCCTGCTTTAGCTGAAGTTACTGGTACCACTTACTTCATGTAAATATGGTTATTCCCGTAGACTTAACAACTTGAAACTTACAAATTGCCTTAGGAAGTAGTACATTAGGATGTAAATAGGTCCAAAAAGATGGTAAAGTAATTAGAGTTCTTCATTGATTTTTAAGATTTTTATACCCTTTTCAGATTTT